GTGTCATTTGTCATTCTTTTTCAAGTTTTCATTATCCTCTAAGTTCAAAAACAAACTACTATTGGAGTGATCCGGTCTGTGAAGGATCAGTTATGTCCTAGTTAATTAATATGATTAATCCAAGAATTCCAAATTAATGCCAATTCATATCGTGCGGATGTCACGTGACGAAAGTATCTTCGACGTGATCACTAGATACACACCAAAAAAAAAAAGTTGTTTGAACGAAAAGTTGAAGAACAAATGGGACATAGCGATAACCGAAAGCAGAGTAAGGAACATTGAAGTGAATTAATGAAAGATTATGTCTCAAAAATAAACAACACATAAATAATAAATGTCACTTTGCTCTTTCTCCATCATACTTCCACCACTCTTCCTGCCTACAATTAGCCTTTTCTTCCATTTTGAAAAAAAAAGAAAAATCTCATTTTCCTTCTGCCGTCACACACACACACATATATATATATCAATTCCAAAAAACCTAATATATAAACATATATCAATTACAAGTATGTTATATATGGAGATGATATATTTTATCAAAGATGAGTACTACCATAGATGTGATCAAGGCTAACATGTTATTTTTACGGAGAGGCAAACATGTTATTCATTGTCGATGCAAAAAAGTATTTTAAAAGGAAAATGTTACTGATCTGCCTTAAGCAATGTCAAAACAATAAAAAATTATCGAAACATGTCACATGTTATTCATTACATGTTATATATGGAGATTATACTCGTGTTTTTCTTGACATTTTATGATTAATGATTCTTGCGTCGACAAGCATTATAATAACTCACAAACTATTATTACACACAGCTTAAATTTTGTGGAGTACAATGAATAACATGTGACATGTTACGTGAACATCCATCATGTGGTGTATTTTCATCATGAGATAAATTTTGTGTAAGCTATTTCAGTTTCGGTTTCAAAAAAGTCGAAATTTTCATCATGGAAAGGTAGGTATGCTCTTCAACTCTTTGATGGATAAAATTATC